TTATCCTTTTGTTTGAATTTGAACAGGTATAACTGATACTAACTTTATTTTGAAGGGGTGCAATTGTGTTATAAAACTATAAGTCCTAAGCCATGAAAATTCATCTTTTATCGAACTATTCATACTCATTTATAAAATTACATACTATATTGGAGAGAGATGCACACCAACATTCGCAAGAGTTCAAGGATCCGGTGACATGGACGACTACATTTTGGTGTGGTTTCTCTAATTTGGTTGCTGAGAAAATGTGGGGAAACCAGGAAGAAATTGAGTAATATACATAGGCGTACACATGTTGGTTGGTCTAGTCTCATCAACATCTGGCTTTCTGTTTGTTATTCTGATAGGAGAGTTATGGTGTGGTGGTGAGCTTGGGAAGATCTCCGATTCCAAACATGTATGTTAATATTGACTTTATGGATGGAGCTATTATAGGCTTTGGTCTCAGCATGAAAATTTGTACTGATTTTTGTGAAAAGTTGTACGTGAAATGACTGAAGAGCCAAAATAATCAAACAACACATGTCACCTGCCCTCCCTCATAAGACATTATTCATAATAAATAAATGGAATATAAAACAAGGAACAAGATTCTATCATATGTTGTTGGGAATACCATTTCATCCAATTTTGGCTATTTTAACATAAAAAATCACTCAGGAAATTGACCAGTATTAAATGTACATTTTTCATGATCATTTTGTCCTCATTAACAACTCAGAATTACAATAAATGGTTTTTTTTTTCTTTTCCATATGAGTATAATTGGAAAATTAAACAACTTTATTTTACATTCCTACGCAAATTAAACATGGGAAAAGAAATAAAGTGATATTTTCTGGTTACTTTCCTAGCATTACCAAATATGGAAAAGAAATCTTCTATTCCTCATCCCATGGGAAAAGACATGGGGAATTACTTTCCATTAAATCTTTTCTGCAAACCAAATGAGGCCTTAAGGTTATAACAAATTTTTATTTTGTGTTGGAGAATGCACGAAAAGCTTTCTAGATGCAAGAATTGTTATAGTTTAGGTTAGGGATGGGCATCTAAACCGAAATACCGAAACCATACCCGAACCATACCATACCATACCGATTTCATACCGTTTCATTTGGCATGAGGAGATATTCGGTACGATACCGCACTGTACCATGGGAGTATGGTATGGTAGCGATACCAAGTATTTGGTACTGGTCAATACTGTACCGTACCGAAGTATAATTTTTATTTTTAAAGTGTTATGAAAACTAGAGAGAACTTGTTCTCATCAAGATAAGAACAAGAATCTGTATGTAAAAATAAACCAAGCATGCAACTTTTGCTTTGTTACTATTTTAATAGTTTCCATTCTCAGCTTTGTTAAAAATTGACTGAGCTTTGGTATGGGTATGGAGCTGCATAGGACTCGAAGATTCTCCTTCACATACAAAATCGGCATTTATTTTTGTTAATTACATCATGAATTGGTGCCTGATGTTTTTATTGGTTGCTGATGCTCTGTTTTTATCCATCCCAATGGCCACCTGAGCTAAATTGGTTGCTGCTTTGTGAGGTTTTTATAAATTGGTGCCTGTTGTGGTATATGCATGTGAAGCAGAAACTTTATCTTGGGGTTTATTTTGATTTTTGTTAATTCTTTGTCATTATTGTTTGAATTGTGTTTGTAATTTTGTAAGCCATAAGGCATAATTATCACTTGTTTCGGTTTGTAAGCCATAAAGCATGAGTTTTAACCATTTGGATTTGGTTGATTTGGATATTTAATCTGTTGAGGGATATTGATTTGGTTGATTTGGATATTGAATCTATTGATGGATATTGATTTGGCTGATTAGGATTTGGATATTGAATTTGTTGAATATTTGAATCTGTAACTTAGGCATCACATATTTTGGTGAATGAATAGGTCGTTGAATATTGAATTGGTTCATTTTTGAGTTGTGTTATTTGGATATCGAAATGGTATCGTACCATACCGATATCGAAATGGTACCGTACCATACCGATACCGATTTGGTACGGTATGGTATAGTACCAACTTTAGCAAACTATAATCCCATACCGAACCATACCAGTTTTAATTTCTGGTATCGGTAGCGGTACGAGCCCAACACCGTACCATGCCCACCCCTAGTTTAAGTATACCCTTTATAAATTGAAAGTGAGATATTGAATTGAAATGAGTACAATTTAAATTCCTTAGAGCAGCACCGGTCTCTTTTGCCAAAGGGGGCTCCTTCGGAAAAAACGTCCACGCTAAGCACAAATGGTCCAGGCAGCAGTGGGCCATACCCAAGCCTGCGCGAGCCTAAAGGCAAAACTTGCCTGGGTTGTTACCTAGGCAAGCTAACCTCATGATGACGTCAGTGTGACGTCAACAGTCAATTTAAATTGTAAAAAAACTGTAAAAAATATAAAGAAATTCAGAACTTTTTTCTATAAATACCTAGCCTTATTCTTCACTTCCCACACCAAAACTCCATACAAATTCATCTTCTCATATCTCATGTGAATAGTTATTGTCATGGTAATAGATGGGAATGCATCAAAACAATTACTAGTGGAAGTGCTCTTAATAAAAAGGGGATATTGTTTTAGACAAAAATAAAATAAAAAATTTTGTGTGAAAATCAGGTTTTGGAAGTGAGATTTTTTAAAGACCAAAAAGGATATGTTTGCTACATTTTTCCCTATCAGATTTGTTTTTGTTTTTTTTTTTTTTTGCTGGATCTGTCAGAATTTTGTTGGTGCAAAGTCGACTAGATATTTCTAAAAATATAAATTGACAGTTAATCTGTCTTGGCAGCTTACCAAAAGCCACAAGATATTTTCTTGGTCTATCTCAGAAATATCTTGGTTGATTAGTCAATGGCTCTCCACCTGTTTCAATCTGTAGTTGCCTCGGTGGACCATTTACCCCTATTTGATGGGAAATTCTATTTATGGGTCACTAAAAAGTGTCTTGGACAGAGATCTTTTCAAGGATCTAGTTGAAATTTCCACTTTGCCAAATCCCAAATTGCAGGATTTTTTTTTCTTTTTTTATTTTTTCCATTGGATAACTTGTCAACGAGCACCATCTTGAGTTTCCCTCACTACCGTTCATGCATGACAAAAACATATTAGTTTTCATTCACTTTTTCACAAAATAAAATAGTAATTTTGAGTTTTGTGTTAAAAATTAATATGTAATTGCCAATCGGATCTAGCCGAAAAACCTCTATCCTCGTTATATATATATATTTAAAAATATGCAGGTAATTATGCTTAACGATAAAAAGTTATGGAATGTGAATTTAGGTCAACAATTTTATTTTCTCTTTGCTGGACTTCAATGCCATGCTGGCTGCCTTTTGACCTTTATCAGCGGCGTGACTGGGAGATAGTCCAGGGAGGGAGGGATGAAGGGAAGGGGAGGAGGATATTATCATATTATGAGGGGCCACGTGGCAGGCGGTGAGGGAGTCAATTATGCAGGAGGAAGGGTAGTTGGGTAAATATCCCAACATAGTATTAAGATAGGAAAAAGGGTAGCACTTTTTGTGAAAGTGGGGTTGAATCTCACAGGTCCTTTCTTTGTCCATTCAAGTGGGCTTTTGATTACGTACACACACACAGCCATTTTCCCAGCCTTATCTGTCCACATGGTATTTTGCTTCATAGCATCTCTCCTTCCATCATCATATCCTTCTATACTCTCTCCTCCTCCTCCTCCACTATGCATTATTATTACTCAACTTCCTAAACACTGCCATCTGCCATTTTTTCTTGTTGCTTCCAACTTCTTTGGGATTTGCCCATTTGTAAGGAAGAAATTGGGGATGAGAAAACGAAAGCTAATAGATGCATGCTCTCTTCATTTTCCATCCATACATTAATCAATTGATAATGATAGACAATCATAATTTAACTGTTTTATACGCGAGATCTGTATATCATTAATAGTCAGAAATGATTCATAATCTTAGAAAATTTTCATTGCTTTGATGTTATAATAAGCATGAAACGTCATATTGAGAAAAGGGTATATAATTTATACACCAAGTTATATAAACCCACAAATAACCTTAAGAGTACCATCCAATTCATCATGTACGACTTGTTTCTTGAGATATTTTTAAACTATAATTAGCATGTTTAAGATGCAATACATGGTAAGCAATGTGATAGTGATGCACCAAAGTTATGGTACAAGTAAAAGTGTATTATTTGTAGGGTATTTTTGTGGGTTCTTATATTATGTCATGGAGTTATGACAGGATGATAATCATTATCCACCTATTATTGTTGAATGCCATATGAGACTTTATTTTCACTTTTTGAGAGTCTTGTTGGTGCCATGTTGCCTCATCGACACTCATTGAGGTTTCTAGAGCTTTAAGGATCGGATTTATGGGATGTTAGCATTAAGAGAGTACGAAAGAAAAGTACCCATTTGGATATTGGATTGGATGGGCGCCTATCAAATGGATGCCTTAAAAGGAAAAGAAAAAAAAGAGATTTAAAAAAAAAACATAAACAAAGAAAACATCAAAAGCAAACGATAAACAAAAAATTAAGACCAAAAACAAAAGACAATGGAGGGACAGATGTAAAAGAAAGGATTAGGACACATGACAAACCACTTAATGAGAATTAGGCCACATATCTTTTTTTATAATGAGGAATTAGGCCAATAGATTTTTTTATATGATCAGGAATTAGGCAATAGATTTTGATTTTTGATTTTCTTTTTTATGAGGAATTAGGCCAATAGATTGGAAAGACCATGTGGATGTACCTTTTAACAGCTTCACCTTATTTCTATTTCCAAATGGAAAAAAATAATGTCAAAAATAGAAAACAGAGAATCAGAGAGATATGAGAGTAGCTTGCAAAATTAAATATGATTTATATTGATGGAGGGACCTGGAAAAGGGAAAGGCCTAACTTTTCCTTTCACTGGGAAAAGGACAGGGACCCACATAAGTAATGCACTTTTTATCAACTTTGCTGAAGTCACCATCTTTGGCCTCTGACAAAAAACATTATGCTTATGCTCACACCCACCCCTCAACCCAAACCCCATATCCAGTCTTTCTATCTTTTCCATCTCACATAGAAATTTTTGGAAAAAAGCTCCTATCTTAGGGTTCCTTTGCCCTGTAGAGTTTTTATTAAATCTCCAACTTTTAATCAGTTAGTTAAAAGAAAAATCAAAATCCGTCTACCGATCTTGTCCTCTCTCTCATGCCACGGTAAAGTTTCCTGAATGCACTCTCTGTCTGTTAAATTTTCAGTTACTACTTTTCAGGCTTATTTCTAGTTCAAAGCTTTTCTGGGTTCTGTAATAGATTTCTTCTGAGTTTTTCCTATGTTGGTGGGTTTGTTGATATGCTGGACATGGTGAGAGATTGGTCCTTAAATTACCCTTTTCTTCATTTTGGTTCCATGAGAAGTATGAAGCTAATCTTTGTGATTTAGTCCTTCAATTCTGTTTTCTTTTTGTGGGGCTGGAAACTTGTTAATCTGTTCACTGAAAAGCTCATCTCTTTTGTTTCTGGGTGATGCAAAGTTGTCAAATTTATTCACTTTTTTTTACTTGCAGCTTTCATTTCCTTGTTGTCCAAATATCTGCAAATTTTGTTTGTTTTATTTTTCGATGAAAATTTCGTTGCTTCTCTTTATTGCTAAAAATAAACTTATTTGTGAAGCTGTTTTTTGAAATCATGTATTTTATTTCCTTCTCATAGTTTTTTGTGTTATCATTTCATATGCTGAAGCTGAAATAATTTTGGATCCTTACTCACCGTGTTTGACAAAAAAAAATTTCTTTTTTAAAATTCATTTTCAAGTTTTCAGATTAGTACTCGAACCATCTCTTAGACAAGAGAAAAAGTTGATCTGGAAAGTTTTATGCGCGGCCATGAGGTCTAGAATTAACTTAGTAACCTCCTTGTTTCAATTTCAATAGGAAACAGGAAAAAGAACATTTTTGTTGTTTAAATTTCCTTTTCTACAAAAAACTTATTCGTCTTCTTCCTCTAAGATATTTTGACAGTAATAATACTGAATATCTCTCTATGACGTTGTTTGAAGGTTGCACTAAGACACACTCAGCAGAATTGTGGTCTTTCTAAGAAGCTGGTGTCAGTTAGATTGATAAATTGTTTGGACAAAACTGGACAAGTTTTGATTAGAAGAGGAGAGAAAGAGTCAGTGGAAACATGGGTTACATATGCGATTTTTGTGGGGATCAAAGGTCCATGGTGTATTGCCGGTCTGATGCGGCGTGCTTATGTTTATCATGTGACCGAAATGTCCACTCTGCAAATGCCCTGTCTAGGCGTCATTCAAGAACACTTCTTTGTGAAAGATGCAATTCACAACCTGCATTAGTAAGATGCACAGAAGAGAGAGTGTCTCTTTGTCAGAATTGTGATTGGATGGGTCATGGAACATCTACCTCAGCTTCAGCACATAAGAGGCAAACGCTCAATTGCTACTCTGGCTGCCCATCAGCTTCTGAACTGTCTTCTATCTGGTCATTCGTTTTAGATTTACCTGCTGCAGGCGAATCTGCTTGCGAGCAGGAAATGGGATTGATGAGCATCGCAGAGAACAGCACTGGAAGTGCTTGGAGCCCTCCAGAAAGTAACACTAAACAAAATGCATCTGGTACAGTTGAAGTGAATGGTGTGCGTTCCGATGATAAGTCCAGTGTTCTTGTTGGTTCCTCTTCGGTGCCTGAACTTAACCCTGCTACTCATGTTGTTGGCCAGCAGGGCGGATCTGAAAATGCAACATTGCCCAAGGTAATTATAAGTCTCAAAATTATTATCTTAATGCAACATTGGCTAAAAAAAATTCTTCTCTAAATCTGTATGATTTGTTCTAAGTTTGATAGTGTTTTCATCAATGACCTTTATTTCATGTTATTAATATACAGTTATTCTGTCATGGGACCAAAGGTCCTGTAATCCCTGAAGATGATGACCTTTATGATGATTTCGATATGGATGAAATGGATTTGAATCTTGAAAATTATGAAGAATTATTTGGTGTATCTCTTAATCACTCTGAAGAGCTTTTCAAGAATGGTGGGATTGATAGCTTGTTTGGGGCAAAGAACATGTCCAAGGGTAATTCCAATTATCAGGATGTGGGTGCTGCTGAGGTAATTTCATCTCATTTTTATTGCTTAATGTTGCTTGGACTTTCTTGAACTGCTTTTGTTCATTGCTTAGGCCCTTGTCCTGAACTTTGTTACTGTATAACTGGAAATTGCTCTCTTATGTAGCTAGAAAACTAACTATGCCATATTACTTTGAAATAATCAACTACAGAACTACATTATACCAAACAAAAAATAGTGATTATTGGTAGTCCATTGATGTTTCTAATTCTCACAGCAGCCTCATTACGTATGCTAGTTTTTTATCTGCAGAACTTTGGACTGGCTTAAGTATAAAGTATGTGTGGCTGTTCCATTAGTAAAGTAGGCTTTTTACCATTTTTTAAATGTGTATGTCAGTATACTGGAGAAGAAGGGTAGTTCTTTAGTCTGAACAAAGCCATACTGTCAGTTGCTCTTCCAACTTATGCTGGAAAATGCATTTGGAAAACTATTGTATCAATAATGGTTTGATGAAATGAGGAAAAATAATGTTGTGATGGCAGTTGGAATTTACTTTTAGAAATCATTTCATCGAACTATTGTTTATTGTACTTGTCAAAAGAGAAAAAGTGTATTTTTAAACAAGTCATGTGTATAAAATGAGTGCTTTGGCTACCAAAGTTTTATCTTTGAAGGCAAGTGGCCATACTAAACTTTGTTGTTTTTTCCTTCTTTCCTTTTTTTATTTATAAATACTTCCTACTGTTGAACTGTTGTTATTAAAGCATGTCTGAAATGGGGTTTATGAAATGTATTTGTGGTTAACTATTAGTGCTTTTTTCCAGGGGTCTTCAGTTGGACTGGTAAATGCTTTACAGCCAGCATGCAGTAATGCAGCATCAGCTGATTCTGTAATGAGTACAAAAACTGACCCAATTATTTGTTTTCCGGCAAAACAAGCACAATCAAACCTTTCATTTTCGGGTGTTACTGGAGAGAGTAGTGCTGGAGATTGTCAAGACTGTGGGGCTTCCTCAATGCTTCTCATGGGAGAGCCGCCATGGTGTCCTCCATGCCCTGAGAGTTCCATGCAATCAGCTAACCGTAGTAATGCTGTTATGCGTTACAAGGAAAAGAAAAAGGCACGCAAGTAAGTGTACTTCCAGAAGTTGGATATATTAACGTGCAAGCATGCACATACACACACTGTATGCCCGTGTCTGTAATGATTCTTCATTCATTTATTACCAAGTTGCATTGTTTTTCTAGTTTCTTCACCACTTTGTATGACCATTTCCCATTTATGGTAGATTGAATGATACAGTGTATCTTGATTTTCTTCTGCACTCTCCTCTGGCTGAAGTCGTTGCACTTTCACAGAATTCTTATCTGGTCAGGAAATACTTTTGCTTGCTGTTCTGTCTTTTAAACATTTTTTTTTGTTTGTCTTTTCAATAGGTTTGACAAAAGGGTGAGGTATGCTTCTCGCAAAGCAAGGGCTGATGTAAGAAAGCGTGTGAAAGGGCGCTTCATTAAAGCTGGTGAAGCTTATGATTATGACCCCTTGAACCAGGCCAGAACCAGAAGCTACTGAGTACAATTTTTAACTATGCTTTATAAAGCAAAAGAAACACTTGCTGTTTGATTGGAAAGACTCACTTATTATCACCTAACAATGAATGAAATTAATGCATCTTTTCCTTGTGCAGTGACAAGCTGTATGATTGTATCACAGGGCCTTGGTTTCCATCGGGAGAAGAGGGTTGATGCAAAAAGCCAGGTTCTGGTGCTTCACTAATGAAGTGGAGGAGCAGATTTCTGATTCCATATCACCATTACGGATTGACAGATAATGACATTATCCGGATCGAATAGCCTGCCCTGTCCTTTAAGCTATGAGCTTTCCTCTCCCGTTCTGTTTCTCTGGGCAAAGTTCATCTGTTCAATCATTCTCCAGGGAGGATTCATGTTGGTCTTCCAGCCATAATATGCTTCGTGTTGATTATCTCAGTTATTATATTTTTGTCCTGCTGGTCTGATGACCTCTATAAAAAGTGCCTGCCATGACATCTTGGGTGGCCAAACTTGTAATTGCCTTGTCAGTAGAATAGCCTGCAATTATTTCCTTCTCCTTTTCTGTTCGTTTGACATGCACAGGATCTGTATGTATGCCAGTTGAGTGTTATGAGATCTGACCTAAAACCATTGTTAGGCAGACTTTAAACTTGAAGTTGTAAATTGCAGTTTCTTTTTTGTGGACCTGGGTACACAGGAACAGAGGATGGTTACTTATGCAGTTAGGGGAGAATAGTTTGTAGTATCTTTATACCAATAGGGGAGGGGGCGTTATTTGTTTTTGTTGCCATCGATGTAAAAGGTTTTTTAATTGGAATACAGTTCACCTTGTAACTCTAGTGGTTATAGCTGCTTTATTGTGGGGATCAAATTCCCCTGTTTTGTTTTTTCTGTCATTATCTGCTTGATCCGGATGGAATACAGTTCACCTTGTAACTCTAGTGGTTATAGCTGCTTTATTGTGGGGATCAAATTCCCCTGTTTTGTTTTTTCTGTGTCATTATCTGCTTGATCCGGTTCCCTGATTAAATATACTAGAAATCGGCAATTTTGCCTTTTGCTAAGGTTGTAGGCCACAAATGCCTAGGACATGATAATTTTTCATCATCCAGCTTGAGGACTGACGGGCTTACTAGTCTTGATCATTACAAAGGTCGATGCGGGGCTTGCTAGTCTTGATCTTTACAAAGGTCTTACTAGTCTTGATCTTTACAAAGGTCGATGCTACCACATCGAGCCCGTTGTTGTATCTAAGAGCCCAACCCTTATACCAGGTGTGACGGTAGAATGCCTAAAAATGTGTAAAATTAAAATATTGAGGTCAAGCAAATCCAGAATATTGATTCGCTGTTCCTGTAAGTTGCTGGGCCAAAAAATCCTAAAGGTAAAAGAAAACTAGCACAAATGAAAAGGAGCCAGACACTGAAACAGGAGAAGAGAGTGATCATATACATACTTTGGCCATAGCATCTTGAAGCAGTGATTCATAACAACTAATAAAAATGGAAAACAAAATTCCTATGCAGTAGCAATAAGGAAAACATATTAAGTTGACAAAAATTCTGCCTAACAAACAATAGGCATGTAGCTGTTTGAGCAGTTCCACAGCATTAATCATCATCAGAACTATCTTCAGATACTCTTCCAATGTCATCTCCCACAACTGTGTCCTGTACATAGATTGCAGAGCAAATGTCACTGGAAACAATAATACCTAATAGAAGGCCATGCACCCTGTGTGTGTGTGTGTGTGTGTGTGTGTGTGTGTGAGAGAGAGAGAGAGAGAGAGAGCGCTTGACAAGTGTAACATTTAACAAGATGTGATTAAAGATCCTTACCGGCATCTTATCCCAGTCCTTCAACTTGGAATTTGTGAGCATGTAATTATCTCGTAATGGAGCCCAGGCGGGCCCTTCACCATCCACCAGGCCTTTAGACGTATGAGCCTGCATGTTAAATCATTCTCATATATAAGACCCACAAGAAAGATGATTGAAAAATATATTGGCAATTTGGCACTACCAAAGATGTTCGCATCTTAGTTTAGGTCTACCATCACAATTTCACATAACCACGAGGTAGGAATATAATTATATTTCAGATTATTCCACCAAACAAATCATGGAGCAACAATATATGATGGTTAAAATATTTGAATGTAAGAAACGAGAATGTCTACAAGCATTCCTTCCACCCGTAAGAAACGTCAAGATGCTAAAAAGCTGTGGCATAATGCAAGAAACTGATAAGGGAAAAAGGAACCAACCTTTGCAGAGGCACTAGCACCTCGGGAGGACGTTTTGCCCAACTCTGAAAAGAAGGCTTCTTTTCTCCGCTTTTTTATCACTGGAAACATTTAGACAACAATGACTAGATTAAACAAACAAGTGGAACCAAGGTTTCCACATTTTAAACTCAAACATAGCCACTGACTAGCAAAACATGTGTTCAATGAGTCTCCTAAACAAATATGGGACTGATCAACTTGTCCCAACATGGGACTAAGATGCATGGGAATAAGGAAATATTTCATATACAAAAATGACGATAAGCTAGATTCATGCCACTCTAGTTTCAATGCTTGTAGGTACATATGACAAGGCATTGCAATTTTTGTCTCAGGGGAGATAAGTCAAAAGATGGATATGATGACATGGCACTTCAAAATAAGCAGAACATAACTTGCCATAATATGTATTATTTACAGAGGTTGAGTGCTTATGGTGATTTTGTGTGCACCTAGTATGCGGAATTCAAACCAACGTTTTTAAAGGCAACCAAGATATGAGAAACAATAGAATACCTAATGAAAAAGTAACAAATCCGACAATGATACATAAACTATGAGATGTGGGTGTGTGTGGGTGTGTGTGTGTGTGTGTGTGTGTGTCAGACACAGAGAGAGAGAGAGAGAGAGAGA